TATGTGTGTGTATGTACGTATGTATATGTATATGTATATGTATATGTATATGTATAAATATATGTAGACATAAATAAGTATAGGTAAAAATAAGCAAATGAATAAATAAATATGTATATATATATATATATATGTATAAATATATGTATGTGTATATCTATATTATATGTGTGTGTGTGTGTGTCAGCCACCGTAAGCATACATGCATAACATGCAAACCTACTTACGTACATATATGTATACATATACATATACATATACATAATCATATACATCTACATATACATATACATATACATATACAAATGCAAATACAAATACAAATACGAATACAATACATACATACATACATACATACATACATACATACATACATACATACATACATATAAACATACGGATACATATCATAGATAGATCTGTACACACAGGCATACATTCTAAGAGTATCGGTACAAGTGCAGAAGCCTCTGTGCTCGGCGAGAGAGTGCACCGACTCACCCCATTATTTTCTTTAATACCAAGTCCGACCAGAGCGGCCGCACGAATCCGAAGCTGCAACGTACAAGTGCCATCTCCTCCACATCTCAGAATCGTTACCCCAGGCAATGATCAACATTGCTGATGCCGGCCGGCTTGGTGAGGGCGAGGAGGGAACATGCAATGCAGCGTGGTCTGTTGACAGAGTTTGTGGGTTTTGGGATTGTGAGTGTCTGGAGAGTTCCGGGCGTTGAGGTTTAGGGTTGAGGTGACGGATGTATGTGAGGATTGTGAACTTGTGGTGCGGGGCTTTAGTCAGTTTCGAGTGTTCAGGAGTTCTCCGGGCCTTTTTACGGGTGCGAACCCAGAGACTCCAAAACCCCTTTATTAAGGAATATACCTTAAATTCTATTAGGATCCCTAATATGATTTAAGGTATATTCCTTAATTAAGGAGTTTTGGAGTCTCTGGGAAGTGGCTCCCTGTGCTGTTCGCGGTTCTAGGGTACCGACCCAACAGGCTCTTGGGGGGGGCCTGGCGACTGGTTTGCTGAGAATTGGCCTTGATACCCAGAGACTCCAATATCCCTTAATTAAGGAATATACCTTAAATCATATTAAGGATCCTACTATAATGTAAGGAATATATTCCTTAATTAAGGGAAATTGGAGTCTCTGGGTATGCTTTCTGTACGATCTCCGAGTCTGGTCGCAAGCTACAAGTTGCACAGGACCTGAACGACGCCCTGCTGGATTTCTTCATGAGGCCAGCACTACCAGCAAAGACACACAGCCTGAGTTCTGGATTAAGCCCTAAACCCTAAACCCTAAACCCTAAGTTTTGACCCTGGAAGGCTGGGGCAGTACCTGCTTCCCAAGGGTGGCGAAGATGAGGCGCAGGGGCGCCTGGCTGTCCTTTGCCGGTTCCAGGGCTTTGTAGGGTGTGCTGACAGGAGTCTGTTCACTGGTTCCCTTACCCCT